CGTGGCTGGCGCCTTAGCCGGTTGAGCTATAGGCGCCGAGCCTATTAAGCCTTAAGAATCAGAATGTTCTGAGTTTTTCCAGAGATTAAAGAAAGTCTCAGCTCTAGAGCAAGTTACAATCTCTCATTTGCAAAACAAAGAGAATAATTCGCATAAACAAATACAAAATTTAGCAGTACATAATATACACATAAATTCAGTTGCTACTAAAAGTAAGGAAGACTTTCAAGAGGTGCTATTACTTAAAAAAAGACTTCCTAAAAGAAGTAAAGCAGTATTTTCCTATTCTCCCCAATATCCATCATGCTGACTTACATATGAGAATACAAATTTCAAAAGCAGTTTATGACTCTTCCTACTATATGAGCAGTATAGTTTTTTCCATCACATCCCCAACATACTAGTGACTTAAACATGCTAATTCTCTTATATCTTCCATAAATTTTAGTCTCACGATTATAAAGTAAATTTCCTTCACATCAACCATATCCAAATACCCTTAGAGTTCTTTACCTTTTCTCTAGCCTCCCCCCAAATTATCATAGCCCCCATCAAACCCTCATCCTTGTCTCCCCTTTTCAGCACACTTCCCCATCCCTCCTTTCCCACAAAAAAAAGAAACACTCATGCCCATGCCAATCCATTCCTTCCTAAAAACATAAGAATTGCCATAGAAGCCTGGAAAGAATATTTAAGGGCCACTTTAATACATTTCCAGATTTTCCACATTAAAACTCTCCAGAAACTGTCAAAGAACACAGCAACCAATTTCAAGATGAACAATTATACCAGTGCCCTGCTCCAGAACAAATTTTACTCCAGATTAAACTAGTGTCAGATTAGAAGACACTTTAGTCTCACCCCTTCCATGTTTCTATAGGATTGTTGCAATTCCATTTTAATCCATTCTATCTTCCTTCCTCAAATCACTGTCAAACAACTCATAATCTCTAACCAGCAAATCTTATGTTCCAAAGATGCTGTTTCCTACAACACAGTCTTTTGTACAGGTCCATTTAGGAGTAGGGTGCTGGCCCCAGATGCCAGAGGTGGTGGGTTCAAACCCAGCCCTGGCCAAAAATAAATAAATAAATAAATTTCCCTGTATCATCTCACCTAGTGTTTCCAGTTTATTAACTGCCCTCTCTACTTCAGGAAAGAAAGCTCTTTCTAGTCTAACTCCTCATCTAACAGAATTGGAGATGTCAAGAAACTGAAGGGACTCTAAAATGAAGGGTTTAAGCATATTAAACATACAAAGACATCAAATAAAAACTAAAATAATAACTATCACAAGATGAGAAGGAAGGGCATAATGTGAACAACACAAATACTTTTCATCATAGACGTCTTCTGACTTCCTTGATGTCATTTAGACAAATTAAGAAGTAACAGGACGGGCCTGGTGGCTCACACCTATAATCTCAGCATTGTGGGAGGACGAAGCGTATCCGGAGTTGGAGACCAGCCTGAGCAAAGCGAGACCCCCATCTCTATTAAAAATAGAAAAACTAGCTGGACATCATGGCAGGCACCCTGTGAGCTATGACCCCAAGGCACTCTACCCAGGGCAACCAAGTGAGCCTCTGCCTCAAAAATAGATAGATAAATAAATAAATAACAGTATTTGACTATTACAAGAAATAGTAGTACATGCCTATTAGACCTAGAAAAAAAGCATAAGACTACAAAAATTAATGCTTAAAAGCAATAGCCTCTGGAAAGTGGGACTGCAATGGACAGGTGAGGTAAGACAAGGGCTTTTGCTTTTCATTGTAAGTCCCTTCAGAACAATTTTTTAAATCACACACAAGTATTAATAATAATTTAAAAGAGAGCAAAAAAAATTTTAAAGAGAAAAACACTAATTATGTACTATATTTAAATACACTCTATTTACAAAAATGGAAAGAACATATAATATACAGTGCTGGTGAGGAGGAGGAAAGGAAAACTGGTTCTCTCAAACTATGACGACAAGGAAGATGGGTACTTTGTAATAAAACCCTTCAAAATTCTAAATGTACCAAGAAAGTTTTCCAAATTTTTTAAATAATAATCCTGGGTTATTTCTATGAGAAAATTGTAATTAAAGAAATCCCCTCTCCTTTTTAATGCTAAATTATCATCCTCCTTTAGAGGTATTTGCTAAAAGAATGATTGAATTTTCCCTTCCCTCTCCAAATTTCCTCATTAATCCTTTGACCCTCTGCTTCCATAAAAAGATTTTCCATACTTAACATGCATTATCACCACCTCTTTAGTTGAAAAACTACAAGATAATGTATATAACAAAAACGAATAACAAAAGGTTAAAAACATCCAGGTAAATTTTAAGAGTATGGTTCTAGTCCAGTGTTCTCTTTTGGAAATCTAGTCTAGTGCGAGCTCACCAAATCCAGAGAGAGCTTGGTTCGTCTCCTGAGATGCTAATCCTCCCTCCAACCTGGCTCTAGAATCATAAAGTCTCTTCAAGTTCTCCTAGACCTTATAATAACCACTCTGACCTTGCAACCTATGATCAAAACCTATTCTAGATCGTCCATTCTGCAGCCCCACACTTTTGCTGGCTGTTACATTTTCTTCAATGTCACCATGTCTCAGTGAGACAGTACTCACTCTCACCAGAGGACTTTAGCAGCTCACATCAGGAACTATGAACAGCAAAAGATATCCCACCATGCCTAGAGTTACAGGACCAATCTAACCAACCTGACTAATTTACATAGCTACAAATGGAGCCTCCAAGGAAGGGCTACCATGCATGTACCCCCACCCTGGACATTAATTATAATCTTGTGTACTGCAATCCAGGCTGAATAATATAGCACTAGCTTTCCTGGACCAGATAAGCTGGGCAGTGAAGAAGAAAATCGCCAACTCAAGTAATTTCCATTTCAGCATTTGCCAGGATAGTGTTCATTCAGCCTCTGGTAAGTCACAGTATTTCAAATATGTTAAAATCTAAATTCCATGTCCCAGAGAATCCCCACAGGTCAGGCCCTTTCTCCAGGTCTGTTTCAGAGATTGTCCTATTCACCGGTGCAAGTCTAAAATGTCTCAGACCCAAATACAAACCAAGGTCTAATTCTCAGTGACCCCACTCACAGCCAAAACCCACACTTACCAGATGTCATCTACTGAAGAGCCCACACAGGTTCAGAACTAGGCCATCCTGGCCCATCTGGAATAACTCTTTAGTCCTTAGGCCAATATTTATTAATTGGACTACATCTGTCTGTTCTATTATGCATTCCCTGCATCTTCTCTAATATTTAGCACTCCCTCTTGCTCCAAACGATATCCTTTCTATTCACGGGAACTCTTATATCCCTTCTTTCCTTTCCTTAGAAATGCTTCAGTTCTTTCCATAATGAAACATCTAACGTAACTGCACAATGAACAACCTCCAGAATCCTCACGACTCCTCCACAGCCACCCCCTGCATTCCTCCACCTATCCGGCATCTTTCCTCTGGCCTCTCCCGGCTCACACTCCCACTATGTTTCCTGCGAGCATTCCCTTTTCTCTAGCCCCTGCCCTTCCCTTCTCCCAAAGAGCACACTCTGGCAGCAACAGCGACTGAGGCCTGCGGTGCATAAAGCACTGCACCAGGCACGGTGGACAGAGAGCTGGTGTCTCCTCAGCTTCTTCACACCGACACCCAGCACCCTCCAGACTCCCGGTGCAAACATCCCACCACCTTCCCTACCTCTGACACCCCCCTCAAGCCCCGGAGGCCAACTTCTCGCCTCCGCCGCCCCCGTCATTATCCTTTCTCAACCCCACAGCCCACCATCCGCGCCCTGCTTCCTCACGTCCCCCCGCCAGCTCCTGCGTTTCCCTCGGCCTCGGCCGGTCCCTCGGCCACCCCCAGCCTCGCTGCGGCTCGCTCCCCCCGGGGTCAGGCCGTTACCGCCGCGCGCTCCCCCCGCGCGCCGCCCCCTCCCCCTCCCCCGCCCTCCCCCGGGCCCGGGCCTGCCAGGCCGAGCGCTTTACCGCGAGCGGGCGCCGAGTCGCGCGGTCACAGACTGCAGGCGGCGGCAGCCCCAACCTTTCTAGGGGCCTTGAGAGGAGGGGAAGGGGGGAGGGGGGAGAACTTTTGCTGTGGCAGCTTCGGCAACAGCTCCCACCCCTGCGCCTTTCTCCTCTTCCTCCCCCTCCTCCTCCTCCTCTTCCTCCTTCTCTTCCTCCTCCCAGAGCAGTAGAGACGCAGACATGCCGTGGCTAGAGCGCCGCCGCGGTCGCCGCCACTGCCGGCTCGGTGCATTGTGGGAAGGCCCGCACACGGGAAGCGCACCGCGGCGCCCGCCCTCGCCTGGCGCGGCGACCTGGCTGAGAAGACGCAGCGTGGCTTCGGTTCCGGCGCCTGCGTGTCACCAGCCCAGGGTGGCCGGGGAAGCTGGCTCCGAACTGCGGGTCCCCCAAGCTGAGCTAGGGAGGAAAACATTTTGAAAAAGATCGGAACTGAGGCAATCTCTTTGAATGAGGTTCCCCCCACCTCAGCCTTAATGCCTAGCGCTCCTGAAGCGGAAGACTCCTGTGTCGGGGGCGTTCCACCCTCAGAGAATGGAGGGGTCGGGGACTTAGTGAAAAGTTATTTCCCAGAATGTCTTGGCTTTTTCGTTTATCATCTCATACCTAGCCCTCTCCCCTGCCAATTCCAGTCTTTGGCCTCTACCACCCCAAATGCCACCTGTTCCGGAAGATGCTGCCATGCGCCCTTGAGACTGGTAAACCCTGTTAGTGTCTGCGAACAGATGGAGGGTGTGAGTATAAAGATCGAGAGAACCAGTCCTGGACCTTGTTGGGCCGAATCTTGACATAGTATTTCCTTTTCAATTTCTCTGAATCCCAATCCTTGACAATCTGTATGTCAAAGATTTGTTAATGACCTTTATAGAGCTAGGATTGCACCCTTGTCTCAGCCTTTGGGGGCCCTTTAAGTAACGTTAGCCAAATTGGTGCCTTCATTCAACTAACATTTACTAGGTGCCCTGAAGTGCTTGGGCATACTGCGGTGGTTTGCAATTACTCATCTGTGTGTCCCACGCTAGTACAAGGTCAGCTATGTAACATAAAAAGATGCTTGATGAATGTTGAGTGATTTTGAGTATTAAGAATTTGCTGTGGGATGAAACACTTTCACTGCAATTTCTAAAAAATCTGATATTTAGCACCTGCCTCTCTGCAATATTTAAATATAACCTTTGATGGGAGAGAAAAGAAAGGGCATTAAAATATCTACATAACCATTTCTGGAGTTCTCTTTCCCTTGTCCACACCCACCTTCCCACCTCTTGCGAACTGAATGTTCATTTGAATAGTGCTTTTTGGCTCAACTCCAAACTCCCGCATTATGCACTTGTGATGACACCGAATTAGATTAGTGTCTGCAAGGTTAATGTTCCCTCAGGCATTAACCTTAGTAAATCGTGATGCCTGTTTAGAAATAGCTGAGGCCCAGAGGTTCAGCTTAATTTAGACACAGGTAACTAAGAAGAGCAAGGATAAGCCACAGCTCCACTATCAACTTTCCATGTGCTTTTTCCATTAAAAATATGTAAATTTTAATAAGATGACAGTGCATATTTGAATGTTAATTGCTGCAACAAACTAGTGATATAATCTACAAGGGATGATTATCTGGAGGACAGCCTTCTGGCAACTTCTAGCACCTGCAGTGACATCAAATTCAGATGTTAAAATAAAATACACCTCTGGCAGCAAAGAAGCAGACTCTCAGTATTAAGCAATGGGAAAACTAATAACTGTGAAAGGCTGAAAACTGGAAGATTACACCCAATAGGCTTGATTGATTGGTTTGCCATTAGGAATAGCTCTAGTTTTCTGTTCAGCACCATAACTAAGAAACAGTAGAGAAACAATTGTCTAAAATAGGCAAAATAAAGAGCACTGCAAGGGTAGTGACAGGAGAAGTAATGGTGAGGAGCAAGTTAAACTTCGGGAAGTATTTCTCAGCCCCAATTTGCCTCTCGGTGCTCCTCCTGCTCACCTCCCCAAACACCGGCCCTAGGTGTTGAACCTACTTTCCTTTTTGTTTTTTAGCATTTTATTATAAAATAATCATAGACTTGGAAGACATTGTAAGAATAGTACAAAGAGTTCCATTTACCCTTCACCCAGCTTTGCCCAATGGTGACAGCTCTAGTAAGATATCAACCTAAATGAAAGGCTTTCTGAAAGAAAATGATATTTATTTAGGAATAGAGCACCGCAATGAGAATATGAGCACCATAGTAAACTGTATGCATAGCAGGAAGGTAAAGGAAGACAAATACTTTTAAAGGAAAAAATGAGGATTGCCTAATTGTTTTGAGATAATTCTTAACCTTGACTACCAAGATCAGTAACAACGGTGACTCCGGTCCAAGGTTGGACAGACAGCTGCTGGGCAGATGTCCTTTTGAAAGTATTTTTTGTATAAGGTTGCAATGGCTTTTGTGCAAAGTTGTGGTTTTTGAAGTGTCTTTTGTGATAGATTTTATTGAGCATAGAAACATGAGAACTCATCTTCATAGCCTTCCCCATCTCTATATGTCAGGCATGTTTTTTTTAACACTGGTGACTTCATTTTGATTCTGACAACTTTCTGACATCCAGGAAATTGACAATGGTACATTACTGTTAACCATATTACACAACTAACTCAGTTTTTGCCATTTTTTAGCCCTTGTTCTGGGTAGTTCAATGCAACTTTATCCTGTGTACAGATTCATGTAACCACCCCTACAATCAAGGCATTGAACTATTCCATCACCACAAAAGAACTCCCTTATATTAACTTTTTGTGTTTACAAATCCCCTTCCCCACTCCACCCTCCCAATCCCAAATCTATCCTTGTCCTCCAGTAACCACTAATCTGTTCCCAATCTCTATAGTTTTGTCATTTCAAATATGTCATATGGCATGTAATCTCTTGCAATTGATATGTTTGCCTAAACATAAAGCCCAAAGAGCTCAACTCAGTGTAAAGGACACAGCCACTTCCAGCCAATGGATTCCGAGTGGACCTGTAAAGATTAGGAAATAAGAGAAGTGAGGAATCCATGTTTGGGGATGAACTTTTTCCATATGCTAAAAGTTGGCAATTCATTCTATTTTTTTAGAGCACAAAAGCATGTCTGTACTTTACAAAGAAAGATTTAAAAAAAAAAAAAAAGCATGTAAGATAAAATAGTGGGCTGGGTATGGTGGTTCACACCTGTAATCCTGGCATTCTGGGAGGCCGAGGCAGGTGGAATGCTTGAGCTTATGAGTTCAAGACCAGCCTGAGCAAAAGCAAGACCCCATCTCTACTAAAAATAGAAAAAACAGAGGCAAGAAGATCACTTGAGCCCAAGTTGGAGGTTGCTGTGAGCTATGACACCACAGCACTCTACCCAGGGCGACAGCTTGAGACTGTCTCAAAAAAAAGATATGTGATGAGCCAGATCCATCTCACAGCTACCAGTTTATCTTTTTTGATAAGGCTTAACCTGTAGAGAACAGGCAGCACTACTACAATGAGTGGGCTTCTCTGGGTCTCCCAGAGCCTTTTTCCTCTGCTGGCTCTAGAATGTGTTGTTCTTGGCCCTCTGGCTTCTCCCTCTCTTTTTTTTTTTTTTTTTTTTTTGACACAAAGTCTCACTGTACCCTCACCCAGGGTACAGTGGGCCATCAGCCTAGCTCACAGCAACCTCAAAATCCTGGGTTTAAGTGATCCTCCTACGTCAGCTTCCTAAGTAGCTGGGACTACAGGTGCCTGCCACAATGCCCAGCTAATTTTTCTGTCTCTGATAGAGACAGGATCATGCTCTTCTCAGGCTAGTCTCCAGCTCCTGAGCACAGGTAATCCTCCTTCCTCAGCCTCGCAGAACGCTAAACTAACAGGTGTGAGCCACCGTGCCCGACCCCCTCTGGCTTCTTTAAAAGAGAAATACGAGGCTCGGCGCCTATAGCTCAACCGGCTAAGGCACCAGCCACGTACACCTAAGGTGGCGGGTTTGAATCCCCAGCCCAGACCCGCCAAAAC